GTGAAGTCGATTCAATGAGATCGATAGTGAGATCGTTCGTGAGATTGCTCGCGCGATCTATACTGACATCGCTTGTGAGATCGATCGTGAGATCGATTGTGAGATCGATAGTGAGATCGATCGAGAGGTGGGTAATGTGATCGATGGTGCGATCGACCAGGAACCCAGGAACCCAGGAATCCGGGAACCCCGTCGCCCACCGAAATTGGCCCGGAACCACGGAACCCGGGAACCCGGAACCGGGAACACGGGAATCCGGCCACTTACCGAAATCGTCCTGGAATTTTCGCCGAATCTTTTGATTACGCCAGAGAGAAGAACCCTAATCACTGGATGGTTTGAAAAATAGTGATTTGGATATTGAGATCGAGTGTGAGGTCGATAGTGGAATCGATAGTGAGGACGATTGTGTATTCGATCGTGAGACCAATAGTGAAGTCGATCCAGTGAGATCGATAATGAGATCGATCGTGACATCGCTTGTGCGATCAATATTGAGATCGATAGTGGGATCGATAGTGAGATCGATTGTGAGATTGATAGTGAGATCGATAGAGAGGTGGGTAGTGAGATCGATACTTGGACCGATCGAGAAGAAAGTCGACCCCGCCGCCCACCGTAATCGGCCCTGGGAACCCGGAATCGGGAACCCGGGAACCCGGCCGCCTACCGAAATCGGTTTGGATGTTTTCGCCAAATCCTTCGAAATCCGCTAGGACTCCTTAGTGCAAGCATTGATTGGGGATTATCCGCTAGGACCCCTTCAGTGCAAACACTGATTGGGGAATAATGCACAAATGCGGAGGAGAAGGAACGTGAGGGAAGGCGTGGGGGAGAACGAGCGGCTATCTCGGGCACAGCCGTCGCCATGGCCAAATTCTGGGGAGGGGTCTGCAGAATGGGCAAGCAAGTCCTGCTCGGATGTAGGCAAACGTGTCTTTCGCAAGATGTCGGGGTTGCGCACAGACCGCTCCCCGAGCTAGTCCAGGCTGGCCTCAACAGACCCCCCTGGTAGCCTGGGGAGGTCTCAACACCTCTGCCCTCTGCCCTCTGCCCTCTCTGCATCTCCTCTCCCTGCCGATGGGTCTCCTTGTCGTCCCGTCTCTCCGCTTCCCTGTCCTGCGGTCTCTCCGTCTCTCCATCAGTCCACTTTTCCATGTTTTATCTTTTCTAGCCTCGTTGTCATTCACATGTTTCGCTGTCTGTCTGGATTTGCGGATATGATCTCTCTCTCTCTCTCTTCTCTGCCTCTGTTTCTTTGCCTTTCAATATGTCTCTGTCTGTGTCTGCCTGTGTCTCTGTCTGTGTCTGCCTGTCTCTGTCTGTCTCTGTCTGTCTTGGTCTATCTCTGTCTGTCTCTGTCTCTGTCTCTGTCTCTGCTTGTCTCTGTCTGTCTCTGTCTGTCTTGGTCTGTATCTGTCTGTCTTGGTCTGTCTATGACTCTATGACTCTCTGTCTGTCTGTAGGTCTGCCTGTGTGTGTCTGTCTCTCTGTCTGTCTGTCTGTCTTTTCTTTCTGTCTGTCTGTTTGTCTGTCTGTCAATCTGTCTGTCTGTCTGTCTGTCTGTCTGTCTGTCTGTCTGTCTGTCTGTCTGTCTGTCTGTCTGTCTGTCTGTCTGTCTGTCTGTCTCGCTCTCCCTTCATCCATCACTCTATCACATGTCACTGTCCGCCTTTCTGGGTGTCTGGCCCCTAACTGTCCTTGGTTGCTCCCCCCTCGCCCCCTCGCTTTCCGCATTTCCCGCCGCTGGCCCGCGCCGGGCGTGGCCCGGCGCGGTTCGCGCCGCAGACACACTGCGCAGAGGCAGGCGAGGCCGCTGCAACGCTGATCGGTCCACGCCGCCCCGTCACACTGCTGCAGGGGGGCGTGCAGCGAGGCAGACTCGACGCGCCTCCTCGCCTCGCCCTCCCCCCGCCCACCCACACCCCACCTCTGTGCCCCAGGAGGAGGAGGAGGAGGAGGAGGAGGAGGAGGAGGAGGAGGAGGAGGAGGAGGAGGAGGAGGATGAGGACCCCCCTCTCCTCTCGGTGGCCAGTCTTTCGACGGCCTGGTGTCTTCCACCCGCTGGGCCCCGGAGGTCTCGGCCTTTTCTCCTGGGAGAGGTTTTCGTCCCAGACAAACGATGGTCGCGGGGCTACGGCAGGTCCGTGTCCTGTCGACGCAGTGGCGGCCCTTGAGCTGGCGTCCAAGGCCGAACGCCGCCAGTGGCCTGGAATCGGGCGGTGTGTAACGATCTGTGCCATCGGGAGGCCGCGATCGCTGAAGGTTGAACGATCCGCGCGGCATCAGGCACCAGGGCAGAGGCTGTGACGGCGTGGATCTGCCGCAGAACATGGCTCCCGCGGGCCGACCTTCGATCAGGACGCCAGGATGGTCGGGAGCCCTGGGGGCGCCCGCCAGGTGAAGCCGATGTACGAGTACTGCGACGTGAAGCTCTGCAACGGTGAGGAGTTCATGCCCCGCGCACAGCAGCCGCCCCGCGGTCGGCCGGCGGGGCGTCGCGTGGTCTGGCCGGCATCCGCCCGGCATCGAGCAGTGGTCGCCGAGGAGGAGGAGGAGGAGGAGGAGGAGGAGGAGGAGGGGAGGAGGAGGAGGAGGAGGAGGAGGAGGACCGCTTCTTCATCCCGGGTCGTTTCTCGGCGGCCGCAGGGCCCGCCCCGCGGCGGAGGGCCCCGGGAGTCCGAGGACGGCGGCAATCCTGAGGACCCGCATCCCCCAGAACCCGATTGCTTCATGCCAGCAGTGGGGAGGTGGGGGGGGGGAGGGAGGGGAGGGGTAGGTGGGGGGGACCAGAGGAAATCCGGCACTCGTCAAGTTTGGTCGGGGCGATGCCAGTTCGGAGCGGGAGTCCCGCGCTGCTCTCTCCCCGTGGGCTCTGGGGCGCGGGCTCGCCCGCGATCGGGCCTTCTGGTGCGGGCAGGAGGGGCAAGCTGGAGGGGGGAGTGAGAGGCAGGAGGGAGGAGGACGGAGGAGAAGAATGAGGGGCAAGCAGCAGGATGAGGATGAGGAGGAGGTGGAGGACGAGCAGAAACATGAGGAGGAGGAGGAGCATGAAGATGAGGAGGGTCAGGGCTTGAGAGAACGAGGAGTGTCAGGCAGGAGGAGAAGGAGGAGGAGGAGGGAAAGAACACATGAGGGAGAGGAGTAGCTCCGGGAGTACATGGGCCTTGGGGAAGGGCGGCAGGAGAGAGGGGGATGGAGGAGGGGCGAGGAGGCATCTCCTGCTCCTCCTCCCCCCGCTCCCCGCTCCCCGCTCCCGCTCCCGCTCCCGCTCCGGCAAGGGGGGAAACACACGAGGATGCTTCTGATGATGATTAGGAGGGGGATGAGGAGGAGGGTGAGGATGAGGATGAGGATAGGGATGATTATGTTGATGATGCTAACGATGACGATGATGCTGATGACGATGATGATGATGATGATGATGATGATGATGATGATGATGATGATGATGATGATGATGATGATGATGCTGATGCTGATGATGATGATGATGATGATGATGATGATGATGATGATGATGATGATGATGCTGATGATGATGATGATGATGATGATGATGGTGATGGTGATGGTGATGGTGATGATGATGATGATGATGATGATGATGATGATGATGCTGCTGATGATGATGATGCTGATGATGACGATGATGACGATGGTGCCGATGATGATGCTGCTGAAGGTGGGAGGAGGGGGAGGATGCTGTTGCTGTTGGTGGTGATGCTGGTGCTTATGATGATGTTGGTGGCGGTGGTGATGATGATGATGATGATGATGATGATGCTGACGATGATGATGATGATGATGATGATGATGATGATGATGATGATGATGATGATGATGATGATGATGACGATGATGATGATGCTGATGATGATGATGCTGATGATGATGATGATGATGATGATGATGATGATGATGATGATGACCATGCCGATCATGATGATGGTGATGCTGATGACGCTGGTTCTGATGATGATGCTGCTGATGATGAGGCTGCTGCTGATGATGATGATGATGATGATGATGAAGATGGTGGTGGTGATGATGATGATGATGATGAGGAGGAGGAGGAGGAGGAGGAGGAGGATCAGGATGAGGGGGAGGTAAGAGGAGCCAGAGGAGAGGAGCGGATGAGGAAGAGGAGGCGGAGGGGAAATTACAATGGAGTGGGCAGGAACAAGAGGAGGAGGAGGAGGAGGAGGAGGAGGAGGAGGAGGAGGAGGAGGAGGAGGAGGAGGAGGAGCAGGAGGGAGGGCGGAAGGGTCTGAACGGGGGAGCTCCGTTCTTGTGGAGCGCGAGCGAGGTGCTCGGAGATCATCCCCCTGTTGCCCAGCCTCATCGCCGAGGAGCGGGCCTTCCCGTTCCCCTCCTCCCGCCCCACCCCCTCCCATCCCCTCCGTCTCCCCCATCTCTTCCCCCTCCATTTCCTCCCCTCTCCTCCTCGGCGTCCTCTTCCTCCTCCAACTTCTCCTCTCTCCCCCCTCGTTCCTGGTGGGAAGTGGGTTCCACGACGCAACAGCTGACCACGCAGGCTCTGGATCCCCGCAGCCTGTGGTGCCTGGCGAAGGACAGGAGGGAAGAGAGGAACCTCGACCCTCGTCCTAATGAGGACCCCGACGGCTCCGCCTCGAAGCCCTTCCTGATGGAGTTGCACGCGTACTGCTGCAAGGACGACCGCGCCTCGAACGTGCGGCAGATTGCCTCGGACACCGCCCTAGTAACGAGAGCCCTGATCAGTGGATCATGGTTTGACATCGGGCCGCCGATCCTGGATCACCCAGCGATGAGCCCAGTCCTCCGACGCTGTGTCTTTCTTGGCATGGCGCTAGCCCCTGGAGTCAGTGGATGAGGATGGGGGGAAGGGCGGAGGCAGGGGTTGAGGAGGTTGATGGTGATTGGAGGAGGTTGAGGAGGAGTGGTGTCGAGTTTTTGTTTGGTACGGTCAGGAACCTTGGCCCAGCGTGTCGCTCCGCTGGTTCTCCCACCACGCTTCGGCGCGACACGCTATCGACGTCCCCATCCCCAAATGTCAAAGCCCCGAGCTGTTCCCAGCGTCCCGCCGCGCGGAGCGGAGCGACATGCCATCCACTTGCGAGGGATAGCGTGCCGCGGGGGCCGCCGCCGCGACACGCTAAGCCAAAGTTCCTGACCGTAGTTCCGGCATTTGTTTGCCCCTCGTAGAGCCTTCTGGGATTCCCAGAGATTGCATTCGGTGGCGCAGTCCGACCCTACCCTCGCCGATCAACGATTCAGGCAACTCGACGGCCACCGGGGGTAGAGTTCGGACTTCGTCGAACACAGGGCGAAATTTGAAGCCTACCCCCGCCTTCCACCGATTCAGGAGAACCGATCGTTGGTGGGGGTAGGGTTCGGATGTCGTCACCTGCTCATGGGATCCAGGCCTCCGACCTCGCGATCTTTCCGTGACGCTGGCCGCCCAGGGGTTCTCGACCCCCGTTCGGGGGGCCGGCTGTCCGTCCGGGGTCTTTCTGTTCGACGGCCCCGCAGCCCGAAGAGGGCCTCCCGAGGCCCAGAAGCTGCAGGAGGAGGAGGAGGAGGAGGAGGAGGAGGAGGAGGAGGAGGAGGAGGAGGAGGAGGAGGAGGAGGAGGGGGAGGAGGAGGAGGAGGAGGAGGAGGAGGAGGAGGAGGAAGAGGGGCAGGGCCGCTGCGATCTTTTCGTGCCCGAGGCCCGGGGGTTCCTGGGAGGCGTCGGTGGAGCTCGCTGCGCGCGGTGCCCCTCCCCCCGGCCTCTTCTTGGAAACTTCGTGAATTTGAATTGCGAATGGCCGCGCCGGGGCCTCGTCTAGCGAGCGAGCAACACACACCCAAACCCATAGGGGGAACGTTGCGAGGAGGACTGGCTATGGCTGTGGGTATGGGTGCGGTTTGTCGGGTCCCAGAGGGCGCTTCCTCTCGAGCGGGGGCCCCCATCCGACAACACGCATCCATAGCCCGCTCCGTCCCACCTATGGACATGGGTGCGTGTTGTTCGTTTGTCATCGTCGAACCCTGAGGCTCAGGTGCGGCCCTCGGGCGCCCCTGTCCCGGCAGCTCCTCGGGGCACGCAGGCGTGCAGGCCTTCGCACTGGGAGGGGGGAGGCCAGCCTGCGGAGGTCCCAGATCTGCATCGGGCCTCCGGGGTCTCCCATTCGAAGTCTCTGGAACAAGTTTTTGAGAGGCTCGCGATGCGCAACGCCCGTTCCCAGGGACGCCCCCCGTGCCTCCCCCCGGTAGCATTGCGATTCGCGCCAGCGCCGTCTGGGAATAGCTCGGGGTAGCTGATATCCCCAGACGGTGCCAGCGCGAATCGTGACGTTAATCGGCCCCCTACCCCCCTTCCCCCTCCCATGATAACGTCCGTTGTCGCTCCTGGAGACATCTGGGAGAACAACCAGGGGCAGAGCATGGGCCCTTGAGGGCCCTCGAGGGCCTCCAGGGTTCCCGGACCTCGAGAGGCGGTGGGTGTGATTTGCTTGGTCCCCTGCACCAGCCACGTCCACCAGAGTAGGGGTCCTGGGAGACCGCTCCCTGGGCGGTGGATGCACTACATATCGATCTGCATGTGTGCTTGTACGTGTACGTATGTGTACATATGTATATATATATGTATATGTATATGTATATGTATATGTATATGTATATGTATATGCATATGTATATGTATATGTATATGTATATGTATATGTATATGTATATGTATATGTATATGTATATGTATATGTATATGTATATGTATATGTATATGCATATGTATATGTATATATGTATGTATGTATGTATGTATGAATGTATATATGTACGTATGTATGTATGTATGCATGCATGCATGCATGCATGTATGCATGTATGTATGTATGCATGTGTGTATGTATGTATGCATGTATGTATGTATGTATGTATGTATGTATGGATGTATGCCTGTCTGTCTGTCTGTATGTCTGTCTGTCTGTCTGTCTGTATGTATGTATGTATGTATATATGTATGTATGTCTGTCTGTCTGTCTGTCTGTATGTATGTATGTATGCATGTATGCATGTGTGTATGTGTAGGTGTGTATGTGTGTATGTGTGTATGTTTGTATGTGTGTATGTATATATGTATATGTATGTATGCATGTATGTATGCATGCATGCATGCATGCATGTATTTATGTATGCGTGTATGTGTGTATGTATGCATGTCTGGATGTATGTATGTTTGTATGTATGTATGTATGTATGTATGTATGTATGTATAGGTGTATGCATGTATGTATGTATGTATGTATGTATGTATGTATGTATGTATGTATGTATGTATGTATGTATGTATATATGTATAGGTGTATGCATGTATGTATGTATGTATGCATTTAAGTATGTATGCATGTATGGATGGATTGATGTATGTATGTCTGTATGTATGTATGTATGTAGGTAGGTAGGTCGGTCGGTAGGTAGGTAGGTAGGTAGGTAGGTATGTACAGATGTGTACACATTCTGGCCGCGAAGGGAGGGTCCAGGATGCTGGCACGGGGCCGACAGGACTCTTCGGCGCTGGGTGCCCGGCGATGCCGGTCGGTGATGGGGTCCGTGGGTGGCCAGAACTCTGATCGTCCAGGAGTCTTCCCGTCAGTGCTCGTGGGCGAAAAGCATATCCGTATCCACGGCCTCGCGGGCCAGGCCCCTGGGTCGCGACCCCGTCGGTACGGTGCGCCTTTTTCCGAGGATGTCCCGCGCGGAGCGTCTCCATGCGACCGCGTATCCACGGGATCGCACTCCAGAATCCAGGCCAGGCCGAGAGGCTGTGGATGTGGACGCGCTCGCCGCCCGTGAGGTGCGTGGGACTGCCCAGGCCCAGGCCGCCCACTCCAGAGGTGGACGATTAGGATGACGAAGACAGAACAGGAGGGTGGAGGCGGACGAAGGAACACGGGGGCGGATGGAGGAGGCTGGAGATGGAGGAAGGAGGGCCAGAGTAAACGCTAGATGTACCTCAACGATGCTGCAGCACACCCTCCCGATAATACGGCGGCGGCATTGGATAAGGAACGTCTTCCTGGGGCCCAGACCCTGGCGCGTTCCTTATTGTTTCAAGGCGAGGTGGGTGGCCCACGCTTGGCTGCCCACTGGTGGCCAGACCCCTGGGCCCCTCATCGACGGCATCCTCATCTGAAACCTGCACCGTGCAGTTTTCAGGGAGGCGCCCAGCGACGGTCCCGCTCACAGCATGAGCCCGCCCTCCCTCCGTCTGACTGCTGCACGTGCGTCTTGGCGGTCCCAGAGTCGAGCGAAGTGTCACGCGGGAGCCCCCTTTCTGAGAAGCAGCCGCCCCGGATCGGTGCAGCTGCTGCGCAAGCTTGTCCAATGGGGCTTGCGCCATTCCGCCTGCCCCGAAGAGCGGGGCGAGGTAGTGGCTGCAGTGGCTCCGCTTCCTGAGGGTCTGGGGTCTGGGTGTTGCTCACACCAGGGCGGCGTCTTGGGAGGCGTCTTCGGGGCAGGAGGAGGAGGAGGAGAAGGAGGAGAAGGAGGAAGATGACAACGACGAGGAGGCCTTTCGGAAGTCTCTTGGGGTATGTTGCGAAGCTGCTTGAGTGCTTCTTGGAGGCCTTCAGGAGCCTCTTGCGGGCTCCTGGGCGCCTCTTGGGTCCCCCGCAGGGCTTCTTGGGGGTCTCTTGTGGCATTGTTGGGGTCTTGGAGGCCATATTGTCGAAGAGGGCTTCTCGGGCTCCTTCGAGTTCCCCCTCGTCGACCTCTCTTGTGGCCCTCCGGGAGTCTTTTTGGGGGCCGTTGGGGGGCTCTCCTGGGCCGTTACGAGGCTCTCTTGGGCCGTCTCCAGTCTCTCGTGGGCGCTTCTTGGCCCGTCTTTGGCTGGTGACAGAAAGAGCGAGACACGAGTGATGCACGTTGAGTTGGGGCGAAGCCCTCTAGGGAGGGGTCCAGGGGAGGGACGAGGGAGGGGGGAGGGCGCGGGCGGGGAGCTGTTTCCCTCTTATTTTTTCGAGTGAAGCGGCTCGCGGGCGCCTTCCACGGCCCGTTTTCTTGTATTTTTCCGAGTGACGCTGCGGGCTCCAAGACGGCCCAAGAGGGCACCAAAACGATCCACTGACGGCCCCAAGAGAGCTTCGGATGACATCCAGACGGTCCAAAACAGCCTCCAGACGGCTCCAGAGGCTTTCCAGAGGGCCTCGAGAGGGCCAGAGGATGCTACAAACATAGATTTCCCTAGAGGGTGTTTGCAGGTTTTTTCGAGTTGTCACCTTTTTCTGGTTCAGAAGTGCCCCAGACGGCCCAAGAGGCCCCAAAGATCGTCCCAAGACGGCCCAAGAGGCACCCCAAAGGGCCGGAAAACGGTCCACGATGGCCCCCAGACGGCCCCAGAGGGGCCCAAAACTGCCCAATAGGGCCCCAAGACGGCCTCAGAGGGCCCCAAGACAGGCCCAAGAGAGCCCCAAGAGGTCCAAAGAGGGCCCAAAGAGGCTCCCAAAAGGGCCCCAAGAGGCCCCAGAGAGAGCCACAAGACAGTCACAGGCTTCCAAGACGCCCCAAGACGGTCCAAAAGGGCCCAAGACGGCCCAAGATTGCCCCAAAAGGGCTCCCAAAGGGCTCCACACGGGCCCCCAGAAGACCCACAAGAGGCCCAAGTGACGCTCAATAACACCATGGCTCCCATCAGCGAGCGGGGACGTAGCAAGCTCTTGAAGCGCGGTGACGTAAAAAGCTCGGCACACCAAGGCTCTCAAGAGCGAGCGGCAACGTAACAGTCTCTGAACACCAGGGCTCCCAACGGAGACGGCGACGTAACAAGCTCTTCACACCAAGGCTCCCAAGAGCAAAGGATGCCATGAGCTATCTCGGGCAAGTTCCTGAGGCGCCCTTTCCGATTCTGTGCCGGCCCAGGTCTGGGGGGCTCTTCAGGCCTGTTCTGGTCTACTAGAACTTCGACAAGGTCTTCAATCCGTGTAGCCGATTCTGGTTCTTAGGACGTGTGTGCGCGGCGCCAAGGCGGTAGCTCCATTCTGGAAACGGGCCACGGTCCCCGTGGGTAGGTGTTTCATTGTTTCAGATTAGTTTTGCGCGGCGCGAAGGCGAGAACACAATTATTCATGCTTCGCGTATCCCCACCAACCCATTCAGAAACGCTGCCGATGAGAGCTGATCTTATTGAGGTCCGCTTGGGGTCCTCTTGGGGCTCTCTCGGAGTCCTCTTGGGGCCCCCTTGGAGCTCGTTTGAGGGTTCTTGGGGCCCTCCTGGGTCCCTCTTGGGCCCCTCTTGGGGGCCTCTTGGGAGCCATTGGGGGCCTCTTGGGGCCGTCTTGGAGGCCAATGGCGATCCTTTCTCTGGCCCCTTCCCCTCAAGAGCCCTCAGCACCGTCTCTTGGGGCGTTCTTGGGGCGATTGAGCGCTCTTGGGGCCGTCTGGGAGGCCTCTTGGGCCCCTCTTGGGCTCTCTTGGGCCATCTTGAGGCCATCTTGAGGCCATCTTGCGGCCTCAGAAGCTTATCGGACGCGAAAGGGCGAGAAGGCACAATTCATTGATTTGTCCCAGGTCGTGAAGCTCTTGGGACTCTTGGGGGTGGATCCTTGGATGGCTCCGGGAGCACTCGGAGCCGTCTTGTGGCCATCTTGCGGCCCATCGGAGGTATGTCGGAAACCATGTTGAACCATCTTCGGCTATCTCGAGCCGTCTTGAAGGCCATCTTGGAGCAGTGGAGGCCCTCTTGGAGCCATCTTGGGCGACAAAGGACCCCCTGACACCTCCTTCCCCCTCCTCTCCAGACCCCTGGGAGGGGGTGGCGAGAGTGGCCACGCTACCCACAAGCAACAAGCCGTATCGGTCATTCCCACCCGCCCTCCCAACACATAAGTGGCACCCGAGTCTCAGCATACGAGAGGGGCCGCCATCGACAAACATCGTGAACCAATGAAGACGCCAGCCAGGTGGGCGACGCCCGCGAGGTGCGCCGCACATGCCAGCTGCGCCACGCGCACCAGGTGCGCCACATTGGGCAATTTGTCGACCCTCCCACCGTCCCTGTCAAAAACCATAATGCTAAATGACGGCGTACGCCTAGGAGAGCCGTTTGAAACGGATGGTGGGCCTGCACGCAGCAGGCAACACAGCAGGCGATATGCCGACACCCCCGTCATCCTGTTCAAACACCAATGCAATGTGAGCGAGAGGCGCCCGTGCGTGATCCAGACTTGTTGGTGTAACATGTATGTTGCATTGCACTTGTTCAAGGGATGATTTGAGGGTGTTGGCATTGCAGACAGCAGGCGGTTTGCTGCCCCCCCCCCGCCGTCCCTGTCAAAAACCAATGCAAACCGATCGCGGGGCGTCCGCGCATGATCCAGAGCTTGGTGCAAAGTGCGCTTCGTATCGTGTTTTGCCAGGGATGGTGGGCGGGTGCTCGCCTGCGCGCAGCAAGGAATATGCCGGCACCCCCGCCGTCTCTGTCGAAAACCATGCAAAGTGGTCGCGGGGTGCTCGCGCATGCTCCAGATTTGGAGGCAAATGGTGGTTTGTATTTTTTTGTGACGGATGGTGGGGGGGGGGGCGCATGGGTGTCGCATGTGTTCTGGTTGGCTGCCAGTCGGGTGGGGGAGGGGGTGCTTGCCATAGAGATAACAGTGATCAAGTTCCCAGCAGGAACGCCGCAAGCTGTCTCGCTCACTCCCACCCGCCCTCCCATTACAAAAGTAGCACCTGAGTCTCAGCCTCAGCCAGGGGCCGCCATCGACAAACGTCGGGAACCAATGCAGACGCCAACCAGGTGGGCGACGCCCGCGAGGTGCGCCGCATATGCCAGCTGCGCCGCGCGGAGCAGGAGTGCCACATTGGGGAATCTGCCGACCCCCCACCATCCCGGTTAAAATCCAATACACAGTGACGGCGGGTTTTCCAGCATTGTGTTTTGTGCATTGTGTGCGTGCGCGCGCAATCTCTCTGCAAGTGTTTTTGACGGGCATGGTGGGCATGCAAATAGCAGGCAATACGGCAATACGCCGGCCCCTCTGCCGTTCCTGTCAAGAACCTATGTAAAGTGATCGCTCGGCGCCCGCGCATATCAAGATTTTGGTGCACAGTGCAACTCGCATGGTTTTTGCTTGCAAGGGTTCGTGGGGGTGTTGGCATTGCACATCGTAGCCAACATGTCCGCCCCCCCGCCGTCCAGGTCAAAAGCCCATGCAATGTGATCGCGGGCCTCCGCTCATGATCCAGATTTTGGTGCAAAGTGTATGCTGTTTTGTTTTGTTTGCTAGGGATGGTGAGGGGGGCGTCGGCATCGCGCACAGCAGGCAATCTGTCGACCCCCCCGCCATCCCTGTCAAAACCAATGCAAAGAAATCGCGGGGCGTCCGCGCATGGTCCAGATTTTGGTGCAAAGGGTACTTCGTACTGCTGGGGAGCGTTAGCAGTGTCCTGAGTTTGTCGCTGGTCGGGTGGGGAAGGGGGTGTTTACCATTGTGGACTAAGGAGGGACAGTGATGAACCCTTCTCCGAAGGTGAAGAAGGGGGTTGCGTCAGAGGAGGACAGAACTCGTTAGACCACCTACGTCCAGAGGGCTGGCGGGATTATGTCAACGACCGACCCTCCACCCGTATAATTGTAAGACATCTTAAGTCTCAATCTTGTTTACGGTGAGGAAGCCACAGTCAGAGCACCCGGCTGGCTCTCACTACACGTCTGGTGGTGCGACAGGGTGAGTTACGTAAAAGGAAGAGGGATGGAGAAGCAGGAGCGGGGAGGCGTCTCGATGCGTCCGGACTTCTTTTGCTTACTTTTGGCCTCCAAGAGGTCTTCTCGTCGGCACGGCTGACTCCGCATCGAAAGCCGAAGAGGTCCGAGGGATCGAGACGTCGGCCGACTCGGACGTGCCGCGCTACGGGTGTTGCCTCACGACGCTCCCGGCCCTTGGACCGTGAAGCAACGGCGCGACGAGACGTGTACACATCCGCCCGCCGGGCCATGCCCATCCCGGGGGCAGGATCGGCGTATTGCCTCCCCGGCCAAGCCAGGTGGGCGTGTGCACCGCTCCTGGGCCCAGGATGGGCCTGGCGAGGGGCGGTGGACGTGTGCGGATCTCGTCGCCCTCGTGTTCCGCAGATCTCTGATCCATGTCAGCGCGCGGCCGCTCCAAGGACACCGCCTTCGTGCCCTCGGAGGACCTGTCGAGGATGGCCGAGCCGCGCTCGTTCACCTCCCCGGCAGGGAGCGCGGCGGGCCTCTTCCGGGAGGTGCTGTCGTCGCACCTGCCCGTCGGCTGGATGGCATCGAATTTGTACATGATGGAGCTCCTGCAGCAGCTGGGCCCTGCCTGGGTGGGCAGAAAATTCGGGGGCGGAAAAGAGGGGGGTGATGACTAGGGGGGGGTGGATATCATGGCGTGGGCCATGATATTTCCCCAGATTTCATGGCGCCTCTTCTTATTTCATTACGTCCCTGGCCCCCCCGCTGGGCCGCGCACATGCCGCCGGTCATGATTTGCACCCCCCCCTCTTGGACACCCCCCTCTTTGCCGCTCCCGAAAAATGGGCGGCGCGCCCAGGGGGGAAGTGAGAAGGAGCAGGCCTTCTCAGAGTGCGGCGGGGCTTCTCAGAAGCCTTCTGGCCCTCTGGGAAGTTTCCGTTCCTTCGGGGAAACCTTAGAGAAAGTCTCAGAAGGCCGGAGGCCTTCCGAGCCTTCCGAGAAGGCCCGCCCCTTCTCGTTCCCTCCCCCCCGCTCGCCGCCGAGAAAGTGCACCCCTGGCAGTGCCCCGTTCCCAGACCTCCGACGACAGGCTGTGGTTCGACCTGGGCTCCTTTCCTCGATCTCGGCCCCTGGGGTCCGATGGTGGGGCCAGGGGCCTTCAAGAGTGGAGGCAGGGCGAAGAACTACCGCGGGAGAAGGAGTCAGGACCTCTGGGACAGCGCATGTCGGGGTGTCGACCGGATGAACCCTATCGGGTATCGAGTCTTGTTGGCCCGATGCGATTCGATTCCGATGCTTCCGTTGATCCGATGCGGCCCAGTGCTCGCGGGGCGCGGCTCTGCATCCTGGCGCGGCCAGTCCGATTCGATTTCGAATCCGTGCCGATGCAGCCTGATCCGACGCGCAGTCCGATTCGATCCGATTTCCCGATTCGATGCTGAGGGATCCTGGCCCAGCAGGGAGTCCCCGGTTCGCGGGCCATCTCGGAGTCTTGGTGGGGCCCCGCTTCGGAGCAACTTTGGGGGCCACCAGGGCCTCCCTGGCAGCCCTGGTGGCACTTTGGGATGGCCGCTTCGATCGACGCCCGAGGCATGGAGATGGTGCTGACCCCGCCCCTGATCCTCCTCTGCGCGCAGGAGACGCTCCGCCTGTCTCTGCCCCTTGTCTCCGGAAAGGCTGGTGAGGAGGAAGAAGGAGGACGGAGGAAAGGATGACGGGAGAAGGAGGAAGGAAGGGAGGAGGATGTGGATGATGATGATGATGATGATGATGATGATGATGATGATGATGATGATGATGATGATGATGGTGATGGTGATGATGCTGATGTTGATGATGTTGATGATGCTGTTGATGATGCTGATGCTGCTGCTGCTGATGATGACGATGATGATGCTGCTGATGATGATGATGAGGAGGGGAGGAGGAGGACGGCGACGACGACTGGGAGGAGGAGGAGGAGGAGGAGGAGGGAGGAGGAGGAGGAGGAGGAGGAGGAGGAGGAGGAGGAGGAGGAGGAGGAGGAGGAGGAAGGGAGGAGGAGGAGGACGAGGACGAGACGAGGAGGAGGAGGGGAGGAGGAGGAGGAGGAGGAGGAGGAGGAGGAGGAGGAGGGAGGAGAGGAGGAGGGGAGAGGAGGGAGGAGGGGAGGAGGAGGAGGAGGAGGAGGAGGAGGAGGAGGAGGAGGAGGAGGAGGAGGAGGAGGAGGAGGATTTTGCCAGGGATGAGCCATCGAGTGATGCCTCGTGTGAGTTTGTGTACTGTTGAATAGGTATAGTCACCTGCTGTCGCCGCCCCCCCCCCCGCCCCGCCGCATACGACGGCGCCTTCCACACCGTGGGGGTTCTGTGCAGCTAGGCGCCGTCTGCGCGAGCTGCTGTGAGACCTGGGACCTCTCCCCACCTCTTGCTCTGTGCGGGTACACCTCCTCCTCCTCCTTCTCCTCCTCATTCCTCCTCCTCCCTCCCTCCCTCGCTCCCTTCATCCATCCATCCATCCATCCCTCCAGCCAGCACCATGACACTAGTGTCTCCAATGCCCAGTGGTGTTTGCCAGCACGGCGTGCACGAAGGAGGCGCCCGCTCCTCGCTGTGGCGCTCGCGTGCGCAGCTGCACCGGGTTAGTCGTCGTGCCCGCCTTCTGCGCCTTGGGGCTCGGGTCTGGCCCGCGCCTGGCCTCGGGCAGAAGGCGAACGAGGCGAACAAGGACAAGCAAACCGCTGGGCAGCACCTGCTGGGAGGCCACCCTGAGTCTGGGGCTCGGCAGGGAGAGGATGAGGCGGCCGAGGGGATTTTGGAGGGCGCCGTCGGCACCACGTGGCAGGCGACGATGGGTTTGGAGGAGACGCTGGAAGATCTCAAGAGCCTGCATCAGCCGAAGTACTGCGTGGGCCAAGATGGGAAGGAGTAAGGGAATTTGATCGACTACGCCAACGGCACCAGATCGTCGGTGAAGGAGGGCTTGGAGGAGAAACTGGAGGCTGGCAGTGTCGGCGCCATACGGCCGGTGACGGAGGGCTTGAAGGAGCAGCTGGAGGGCCTCAACTCCCTGCACAAACACAAGTTCGCTGTGGAGTGGTTCGTAAGCCTGTTCGTAGACGCTTAGGGATCTCAGGAGCAGGTGACCGAGGGGAATGGGTTGATGGAGGATAAGGTGAGGGACCCCAAAGCCTTAAGCGCAGCCGCTTCGTGAAAAACGGCAGAGATCCATGGGGAAGCTCGTCTGTTTGTCGACATGGTATATGACCAGCAGGAGTCCGTGGCCGTGGAAGGTGCGAAGTCGCCGTGCGCCGAAACGGAGGAGTGAGTTCTGGACCTTCATGGCCGCATGTTGAGACAGTGGGAGGCCGTCGGCGTCGTGGGCTCGGCCGAAGATAACCTGAAGTGGATCATCGATCTTGACGGCCACAAGAGGTTCATGAATGATCCCAGGCCGATCTGAAGACGTTATCCTCTCTTTGTTTCTCCCTCTTTCTCTCCTTCCCCTCTCCTCCCGCTCGTGAGCTGCCTTGAGAGAGCTGCTGGTGCCAGCGGGGTCCCCAGCGGGACCGTTCCTCGCCATCGGGTGTCCCCCGCGGCCTGGTGGTTATGTGTCCGCCGCAGGACCACGTCTTGAAAGAGCTGAGAGGTTTGCAAATTGTTGCCGCACAGGGCCTTTTTTTAACATGCTGAGCATATTATTGTGTTCTGCTGCTGCTGCTGCTGCTGCTGCTGCTGCTGCTGCTGCTGCTCGCAGCCTCCGTATTGTACGCCACGCTGATAGAGCGTAGCGCAGAGATGAACGGAATGAGCTGGCCCCCAGCGCCTTCGTAGCGTTCCCTCCCTCCGGCCTCTGGATTCCCGGGGGCCGAGGCCGAGCGCCACGCGGCGGCCGAAGGGCGGTGCGGCCGGCCTGACGCCCCGCAGCCCGAAGCCTTCAGGGTGAGCAGGAAGCTTCGTGAGGCTTCTTGGGCGGCAGCTAGATGCAGTTTCCGCCCTCGGTCTTTCACCCCCCTGCCTACCTCAAAGCTCCTGAGGCTGTTGCTCTCCCTCGGTCCCTTCTGAGGAGCCCGCCCCTTTCGGAGGGCCGCCCCCGCCTCGCCGTGCTGCCCCCCCGCCCCCCCCCCCCCTTATGCGCGCCGCCGAGTGCGGGCGCCGTGACGCGCGCAGCTGCGCGAGGGAGGGATGAGAACCAGGTCCAGGTATGAGCGGGCTCCATGCATGGATCTTTCCACGGTTGGGCGAGAAAAGGGGGAGGGGGGTGGGGGCGAATGGGGCTACCGAAAGCTACCGCATGCAGCTTGTTCGGTTTCCACTACCAGGGACCCTCCCTCGCTACGTGGTCGATCTGTGCGCCGTGGGGCGCTCGAAAAACCAGCTGCGTGCACCGAGTTCGCAAAGACCCCGTGCTGCCCTTCCCCGTCGTCTACCCTGGCCATCCCCATCACTGGTGCACTCCGGAGGTGTTGCGTTGCCGCGCCCATCTGCCACTGCGTCCAGGGGGGACGGTTTGGCCGTTGGTCTACAGGAGAGGACAGAAGGGAGGGGACGGGCAGGGGAGGCGGCAAAGGGGTCGAGAGCCGGGGGAGGGGGGGGGGAATGGAGGGTGCAGGTTTGGGGGAGAGCGGAGTGGAGGCGGATGGTCGCAAGGGAGGCCGCTTGCTTCTATTCTTTGCCCATGCCGTCCGCAGTAGCTTGGGCTCAAGCTGCCTGGATCGAGCTGATCAACTTGCAGCTGGCGCCAACATTTCTCAGCTCTGTGGTAACTGTTTGCTTGCCTCATCGCTCGTTTGACCCACCAGGCGAGCTTCTGTCCCAGGTCACCATGGCTCGTCTCGCCACATTGGCCATGCTCTCCGCGCTTCGGGATGGAGCAGCAAAGATCGCAATGGACGTTAGTTACATAGCCGACGGCATGAGCAGCCTGGGATACATGACGTACGATGACTCTGTTTGCACCGCCGAGAGCAAATGCCCAGTAGTGGTGATCATTCATGACTGGACGGGCATGGACGAGTACGAGAAGCAACGAGCCTGCATGGTGGCCGACATGGGCTACGTGGCTTTCGCGGCAGATATCTACGGCGAGGACACGCCGAAGGCGAGCATGAGCGACTGGATGGCAGCGTCCACGGCACACCGCCAGAACGCGACGCTGTATATGAGTAAGATCCACGGGGCCGTCACGCAGGCGATGTCCTATGACTTTGTAGATCCGGCCAGGATGGCGGCCATAGGCTATTGCTTCGGGGGCACCGGCCTGATCAATGTCGCGTTGGCGGGCTACTCTGGTTTCTCTGGCATCGAGTTTCCGTCCGGTCTCTTGGGCGTCGTCTCCTACCATGGAGGCCTCAGCAGCGGGTGGCTGGATCCCGTGGCCGGAAGTCGTCCGCAGCTGCTGGTGCACTCCGGCACCGCGGACGATTCGAACGAGGACATCATGAATTTGACGAGGGATCTTGAGAGCGTGAGCGCAGAGTATTCCATCAGCAGGTACGGATACGGAGTGCTCCATTTGAAGAAGAACAACAAGCATAAAAATGAACCCGGCGCGACCCCAATTAGGAGAAAATGTCCTCAGTTGCATTGCTTGGCATGTCTTGGCGTTGCTTGGCATTGCTTGGCGTTGCTTGGCATGACTTAGCGTTGCTCGGCGCTGCTCGGCATTGCTTGGCATTGCTTGGCGTTGCTTGGCATTGCGTGGCGTTGCTTGGCGTTACCTGGTGTTTCTTGGCGCTGCTTTGCGGTGCGTGTCTTTGTTTAGCATTGCTTGGCGTGGCAAGGTAGCAAGGAAACAAGCAAGTCACCCAGGAATTGCAGTATGGAGGTAAGACCAAGCAGCCTGTGGAATGCAGTAAGTAGACAAGACCAAACAACCCGAGGAAGGCAGTAAGGAAGCAAGACCAAGCAACCTGGGGAACGCTCCTGAAAAGGAAGCAACAATCAACCCTGGGGAACGCTGTCCCGCCAGGCCAGCGAACGCCTCGTATGGAAACAAAACCAAGCAACCCCGGGGAACGCCCGCCTGGCAGGCCGGGCACCCATTTGGTTTTTCAAAACTCAGTCAGGACCCCGAAGGTATAGCCTGATCTGGGAACGAACTCTTGGAGGCCCGCGCGGAGTTCCTGGATTGGCGCTGCACCCCCCTGGCGGCGCCTCCAGCGCCGCCCCTTGCGTGCCCCGCCCGCCATGCAGGGGGTGTCCAGCGCCGATCCAAGAAACCTCTGCGGACCTTCGACTCTTATTTCTGCTGTATGTTATCTTCTTCTACCCATAGCTTCACCGAGTGGGACTCTTCCAGCCCTGGCTTCGCCATGTACTCGCCGATGGCCGACCAGCGTTCGTGGGAGGCCACCGAGCGCTTCTTCGTGGAGCTCTTCGACTCGGGCGGCGGTACGCCAGTCGGGGAGCCTGACTTGTCCGCGGTCCCCTCCAGCTTCACGCACATGATGGTCAACTACACAGCCGCTGGGGTGGACTGCCAGGGTTTCGTGATCTATGACTCCTCGATCTGCACCAGCTCGTCCAAGTGTCCAGCGGTGGTGGTCATCCAGGATTGGAACGGTATGGACGACTACGAGATGGAGCGGGCGTACCTCCTTGCGCAGCAGGGCTACGTTGCCTTCGCCGCCGACATCTACGGCGTGGACACGCCGAAGGCGGACATGAGCGACTGGATTGCGGCGTCCACGGCACACAGCCAGAACGCCTCACTGTACATGAGCAAGATCCACGGAGCCGTCGCTCAGACCATGTCATGGGACGTCGTCGACACCGCCAACATGGCCGCCATCGGCTATTGCTTCGGCGGCACCGGGCTGATCAACCTGGCCCTCGTGGGGCACAGCGGCCTGGCGGATGTCGCCCCGTTCCCCGTCGGCCTCAAGGGCGTCGTCTCGTACCATGGCGGCCTCGCTAGCGTGCAGTCTGCCCAGAGCGGCACGACTCGCCCAAAGGCCCTCATCCTGGCCGGTGCCCAGGACACCAGCATCTCCGATGCGGCCGTGTCGGCCCTCACCGACGACCTCGAGAGCGTGGAAGCTAGCTTCGAGATCACAAGGTACGGGTCCGGTGTTGTCCACAGCTTCACGCACTGGGGCATGGCAATGCCACAGATGGGCTCAGCCTATGATGCCACTGCGGACTTTCGATCATGGTACGCCACGACGAAATTTCTCGAGGAGATCTTCTCGGACAGTACGCTTGGCACACAGAAATCGGCCGTGTGCGAACTTCTGCCTGTCCAAGAAGATGCTGCGAGCGGCGCGCGCGAGGCGGGCAGCGAAGTTTTCTGTCTCACAGCTCTTGCGCTGACGGGCAGTGTTATGACTGCCATCTCGTGATTGCTGGCGCTCCTTCGAGTGCGGATTTTCGGGGCCACGCATGTGCGATTCTCGAGTCCCAGCCGACACCGGCGGCCTGGGTGGCCGCGGCGGCACATGGGGGTGCCCGCGGGGGCACGAGAGGCGAGCCAGGGCGGCCGGGGCGAACGAGCTGCCCGCTGTCTCCTGGCTGCTGCTGCTCCTCCCCAGCCTGCGCCGACGATGGCCCTGGCAAGAGCGGTGGCTCGGCTCACTGCGACGATGAACAGGGCATTAGTCACCGACGCCCACGGCGACCTACCGCCGCCGCATGCCTTTCGGAAGCGCCTATGCGGCCAAACGTTTGACCTAAACCTGGCCTCTGGACGAGATTTTGGGATGTGCGTTCCCGCAGCCGTTGTGGAAGCCCTGTGGGGAACAGTTGGGGGGACGAGGGGGAGGAGGTGGCACGCCATATGCGATCTCGCCATATCTGACGTCTTAATTGTTTTGCCCATCCCTTCCCATGGCGCTGTCTTTCCTGAAAATGCAGGCGGGTGTCATAGCGGACCTGGAGCCCTGCAACTTACTCCATCGCGTTATGCGCAAGCAACATGTGGAGCTGTGTCAATCAGAGGGTGGGGGAGGAGGTGTCGGAGGAGTAGCAGGATGAGCTGTGGGAAGAAGATGAGGATAGGAAGAAGAGGAGCAGGAGGTGCAGGAGGAAGAGGCGGCGGAGGAGGAGAATGAGGAGGAGGAGGATGAGGAGGAGGAGCAGGAGGATGAGGAGGAGGAGGAGGAGGAGGAGGAAGAGCAGCAGTACTTCGAGCAGGAGTACGGTAGGATGTGCGGGTTGAGCAGAATTACCAGCAGAAGGTGTAGGATCGGCAAAAAAGCAGACGGCAACGACGACGAGGATCTCGGATCCAGAAACGTCGCCAGCGCTTGGGTGAGATGGCCATTCTGAACGATTGAAGCAAATCGTCGATCTTAGGATGAGGCCAACGCTGTAGCGGGAACGCCGTTTTCAATAACCAAAAATCTTCCGACTGAGTACGAACCATACAACACATTTGAAGGGATTCGCCCTCTCAGACCCCCCCCTGTGATTAATTGTGTGGCCACGTTTTGTTGGTAGGTTGGTTGGTTTTGTTGTCGATTGGCTGGCTGGCAACTCGGCTGATTGGCTCTTTGTCTAAACTGATGACTTGCACTTGGTTTGGGATGTTTGCTGGCTGGCTGGCTGCGCGCGTCTGCAAGAATTCATGGGCGACGGTGGCCTCGGGGGCGCACCTCCATTGTGCTTCACAGTGGTAGGCTTCGGGAGCGCGCACCCCTACGCTATCTACACAGGTTCGCGGCCTCGAGCCCCGAGCCTAACTCTCAGAAGACGGCGGGCGGGCTGAAAAGCGCCCCAGGACACAGATCCGAATACAGAACGTGGCAGTTTCTCTGGGGAGACGTGGCGCTTTTGGACGGCCTCCGTGGGGTTGGATCGTGGCCTCGGGAGCGCCAAGGCGTGGGTCAGTGTATCATGGCTTGTGGCTTCGAGGGCGCAAGCTCGTCGAAACCCTCGACGGGTGGAGGGGTTGTGGCTTGGGGAGCGCGAGCCTGGTGAAATCTACGCGGCGGTGGCATTTCAGAGCGGAGTGTGGCTTCGTGGGCCCGAGCTTGCAGCAAGTTTGATGGGATTGTGGCCTCGGGAGCGCGAACCTTTTGCCATTTACTGGGGACTGCTGCCTGGAGAGCGCGGCTGCGGCGTAATTTGGGGACTCTGGCCTCGGAAGCACGAACCTGCTGTAAGTTACGCAGGATTGTGGCCTCGTTGGCGCGAGGTTGCTGCTATTTGCAATGGACTGTGGCCTCGAGAACGCAAACCGGGCGTAATGGTTTACGCTTCGCGAATCCCCACAAGCCCGTTCACGCTTCGCGAATCCCCACCAGCCCAGTCAGAAGCCCTGCCGTGAGAGCTGACGGGAAAACGGACGAAGAGACACAGATAGTGAAACCGAGCGTGCAAGGAAAGGAGAGGAAGGACGGTGTTGAGCCATCTTGGAGGCTATCTTGGAGCATCGGAGGCCTCCTTGGAGCTACGGGGCTGTGTTGGGGATATTGGGGTCCTCTTGGAGCTCTTTTGGGGCATCTTGGGGCCCTCGTGGGGCTCTTTGGAGGTTCTTGGGGTCCTTTGGGGGCTCTTTTGGGGCGCCTCGGGGCCCTCATGAAGCCCTCTCGGGGCTCTCTTGGGGCCCTCTTGGGAGCTATGGAGCGCCTCCTGAGGCCATCTTGGAGACCGTCGATCCAAGGAGAGGGAGGCCTCGATGTCTCTCCCCCCTCCGGGGCAATCGAATCGAAATGGCCTCTTGGGGCCCTCTTGGGGCGATCTTCGGCGCTCTTGGGGCAGTCTTGAGGGCCTTTTGGGCCCTTCTCGGAGCTCTCTTGGGCCATCTTAGGGCATCTTGAGGCCTCAAAAGAGCATTGGAAGCGAAAAGGCGAGAAGGCACCAATCATTTATTTTTCTTAGGTGTTTGAAGGATTGGGGCTTCTCGGAGAGGTCCTGAGGGGTCGCCCAAAGCACCTGGAACCATCTTGTTGCCCTCTTGGGACCTCTTGGAGGCATGTTGTTAGCCATGTTGGGCTATCTGGAGCGATCTTGGAGGCCATCTTGGGCTCTCTGAGGCCCTCTTGGAGCCATCTCAGGCTATCTTGGAAGCCCTGACCGCTCGCGAAAACCCCTGTCCAGGTCCAGGGGAGGTGGTAGGGGGAGGGGTCCAGTTATCCACCCGCCCGCAAGCCGCCTAGCTCACTCCCACCCGCCCTTCCAACACATAAGTAACACCCGAGCCTGAGCATTTTCAGCGGTCGTCTTTTGATGGGCAGCTACTGGGAACCAAAGCCGACCCCAGGTGCTCGACGCTTGGGCGAGGTGCGCCACGCGTGCCAGGAGCGCTACGCGTGCCAGGGGCGCCACGCGCGCCAGGCACCCCTGGGGCCCGAGCGTGCCAGGCACGCCTGGTGCGCCAGATGCGACGTGCTCCAGCCGCGCCAGGTGCGCCATGTTCGGGGCACGTGCGCATTGCGTCAGGTGCGCCTTCGCACGTGACAGCACACATCGGGAAACATGTCGGCCCCCGCCATCCTTGTCGAAAACCAATGCCCATCATTGTGTCTGGTGGGCCTGCGCACAGCAGGCCACGCGCCACCACCCCCACCGTCCCTGTCAAAAACCATTCGACAGTGATCGCGGGATGGCCGCGCATGAAACAGCTGTAGCCGCGAGGTACATGTTGTATTGCTTGTGTCAGGGATGGTAGCCTTGCGCACAGCAGGGAATATGCGGGCACCCCCGCCGCCCTTGTCAAAAGCAATATAAAGTGTTCGCGTGCCTCACGAACATGATTCAATACGTTGCCCCAAAGCGTACTTGGCATTGTTTTTTGTCAGGGATGGTGGGAGGGGGGCGCATCGGGTTGGCCGCGCATGCTCCAAATGTGGAGGCAGAGTGCGGTTCGTACTGTTTTTTGACAGGGATGGTGGGGGGCGGGCCCGCATGGAGTCGGCATGGTTCCTGGTTGGCCGCCGTCCGGGTGGGGAAGGGGGTGTATATGACAGTGATAAACCCGTCCCCGAAGGGGACGGATGGTTCTTCGGAGAGGGAAGAAAGACATCGTTAGACCACCTGCGCCCAGAGGGCTGGTGGGATTTACAAGAGGTAGCTGTTTGTGGAGACCGAATCGTGGTAAGTTGCGAAGGGGTTGTGGCTTGTGGAGAGCCTTTCTGGCGTAACTTACCAGGGATTGTGCCCTCGGGGACGCGACTACAATGTATTTTACGTGTCCCGTTCCCTCCCAGGAATCCAGATTACGTGATTCTGGCGTGGTCAGCGGTCCCTTTTCGGGCTTTTCCATTTCACGCGGACTTCAGTCACTGCAGCAGCGAAGCTAGAGAAGAGAAGATCTGTATCCACAGGTTGGGGACCAGAACCGGTGCAGGAAACTGGACCACCTGCCCCTCGCCTCCAAGGGGAACGGCGGATTAGCTTTCGAAGCCCCGTGCGCCAACACAAAAACACGGAGAGGGCGGGACACCTTCAGCATGCAGTCGGGGGACGGAGAAAAGTATTCATATTGGGTATGGGCCAATCTGAAAGGGAGGAGAGGGGTGACGAGGAGGAGGGGGCCTCTGGGGCCTTCTTGAGGCCCCCTGTGGGCTTCCTGAGGGCCTCGTGGGGACGCTTGAATGGCCTCTTGGGGACCTAGGTGCCTCTGGGGCATCTTGGGCCCTGGGAGCCGTCTGAGGGCTCAGCTGGCCCGTCGGACGCCTTCGGAGGCCGTCTTGGGAGCCTGACGTCTTGCGGGCCTCGTGAGGCCGTCTCAGGACGATCTTTGCCCACCTGACGCTTTCGGAGGCCGTCTTGGTGGCTTCTTGAGGCGCTTTAGGGCTGCCTTGAGGTCTCTTGGACCGTCTTGGGGCCCTCTTGGGGCCGACTTGGAGGCAATTTGGGCCGTCCTGGGGACCTCTTAGAGGCCTCTTATGCCGTTTGGGGGCCATCTTGTTGGGCATCTTGGGCCGTTTTGGGACGTGAGAGGCCCTAACAGGTCCGAAGGATAAACATCAACAACGATTTCGCAATCTTTGACCTCTCGCGGGGTCCTCTTGGAGGCCTCTTGGGCCAGATCGGGCGCGTTTTCGGAGTCTCTTGGGCCGTCTTTGGCGATCCTGGGGCTATCTTTGGGCTGTCTTGGCCGTCTTGGATGGAGGCCGTCTTTGGAATGTTGGAGGCCATCTTGGGCTATCTTGGGCGTCTTGGAGGCATCTTGGAGCCGTCTTGGGATGGAATCCAACAGACGGGAGGTAAAGTTTCGGGGTGGCCGGCGGGTTGTGCCGGAGGCCACTGGTACCCTTTCGGGAGGGCTCAAAGGGACGGTTTCAAATTCGTCACGCCCAGCCCAGTCCCCCTCTGCACGCAGAGGGGGGCGGCGGACTTTTCCTCCCGCCCTCGATACACACCATTGGCAATTTTCGAAGGTACCATCGTAGATCCG